GCATCTGGCATCCAAAGTGTTGTGCTACTCCCCCAAAAGCAGTTCAATGATTCAGTCTCCTCTTCTTAGGCTGTTGTGTTGCAGCAGCTCAGTGTTTGTCAGGTCGCCGGGAGGATGGTGGACTACAAGACACTGACAGAAAAGTAATTAACAAAGCAATTTTTACCTCACTAAATTTAACCAATTGTGTCAGATTTATAAAAATAAAATGGGCGACAGCAAAGTGACTGTGTCTTTTGTTTTAATGGTAAATAAAACTGAAAACATCACCTCTAAGAGCGTGATAGGAAGTCGGCAGTGTAGTGGAAGTGAATGGCTGTAAGTTAAAAGCACTCATTGACTCTGGCATTGGCCAAACTCTTGTTCATAGACTGTTCAGTCCTCCCCACTGTGTTTATATGCCTCAGGCTGTGCCCATTTGTTGTGCACATGGAGATGAAAGATCTTATCCAACAGCAGATGTCTCTATCAAAGTAAGAGGCCTGAGTTATCTCATGAACATTGGGGTTGCTGATCATCTTCCATTTCATGATTCAAACGTGAATGTGATTTTCTCTGTCGTTCAGAATCAAATGAGCATTTATATTTTAGCTCCGTGTTTCAAGTTTTCAATGTTTAAAACAACTGTAATAGTTGTGGACAGAAAAAGTGGCAGATACTAAATGAATCATGGAGAGTTATGGGTTTACCTTAAGGCTGATGAAATACCTCACTTGGCTTTCCTCTCTGTCACTTTGGTGTCAGGGAAATTCTTGACCGTTGACCGTTAAATGAGCTCTCATCAATATGCTCCTTTCATCAGTCTCACCTTATAAAACTTTGCTGGATCTGCATTCACCACAGGCAACTGACAGAGAGGAGGAGTGTTTGCTTATGTGTAGAAGGCCGCTGAGTAGGAGGCTTTCATTACCAGAGTCGTCTATGCTGAAAGAGGAGGAGGGGACAGGCATAAGAAAAGGCCAAAGGACACATTTCTAGTCCTTGGCCATTATCAGGCTGAAGGTGTAAACAACATGAGGCACCTTGCTTCTCCAACTGAAACACATGGCATTTTAAAATCTGAAATTACTGACAGTTTGTGTGGTAAATACCAATCTCCGAGTCCATCGACTATCATTTGCCTCTGAGGGCAACTTCCAATATTTTGGATTTACCAGTGATATTTGGGCGAGACTGTGTCTTCTGTTTGCCATACACTGTTTACAGTCCTACTCGTTTCTTTTATCACATGAGTTGGACATTTCCTCACAGAAAACACAAACAGCAAGAGTTTTTGTAGATGCTTTAGGTTCTAAACAGGGGTGGATGTAGGGGTGGGGCCAGAGTGGCACTGACCTCAGTTGAGAACGAAATGGCCCCTGAAGTGCCCCGATTGTCAGTAGTATTTTTTTTCTACATAAACTTGCTATTAATACTAACAAATATGACAATGTGTTAAGATTTTTTATGTTCTAACTAAATGTTTAAACAAATTATGTGTTACTAACAATTAATAGGGAATAACTTAAATGAATCCAGAGAAGAGTACATGGATGTTGGTCCTATAAATCACCCCTCTGTGTAGATTGTGGCCCCCTTTATGGCCCCTGATTCCAAAAAATCCTAGATCCACCACTTGTCCAGATGATATTTTGACTAATATCTATTTTAACAGCTATCTGCATTTTAATTAATCATAAAGGCAGACAGCTGATACATTTCAGTCAGTGCTTCGCCTCTTTTGCTCTCTACACAGACTGTTAACCTGCGGGCAACTAAAGCCTGCTTTCATCTGATTGGTCAGAATAGAAACAGAAACCAGAAGACTTGCAAAGACCTGCAGATTCTGCATATTCACATGTAGATTCAGTTTATAGAGATTAGATATAAATGCTCCCAGGATTAAGTTGGATCATTTTCCCTCATAAAGAGACTTATATATATCGGTTTGTGTGTAAATAAGACTGAATTAAATATAATTTTTAAACATAGCATAATTTCACGTATAGCATCACTATAGCAACTCAGAGTGAAGTACAAAATTAGTTGTCCGTTATAATGCCCTGTTGCAGCTTCTCTCAGCGTGTTACCGGCACTCTGTGTAAGCCATGCTTTGACGTACGGTATCTTTGTCCTTTCATGTTCCAGCTATTTCTTGATGCCCTGAGAGTCGAGTTCTGTTCTCAGCCTCGCTGGATACAGGTGCAGGGAGCTACAAGTGCTGCTGCTTCAAAACACCTTTCACTGTAATGTACATGTGTCAGAAAGCCTGACTTCACACGAGGCACGGCTCCTGCTCCTTCTCCAATCTGTCACTCCACTCCCATATTCTGTCTCATCTTGAGCAGCGGTGTGCGCCCACGGATGTGGAGAACATTTCTGTTGGCTCTCTGTGAACCGCATGCCCTTATTGAACCCAACACACACACACACACTGACATGGTCTGTGGGTCTTTTCAGCAACATTTCCCAGGTTAACCAAAAGTCTAAACTTTCATAGTCAGTTAAAAACTGCGCCTGAACTTCAGTAAACTGCAAATATATTAAATGTAATAAAATATACTTAATCTGATTTATTTGGGCAGATACTGAGTATTAATGTGACACTAAATTGACCATGGATGTGAATGAGTGTGTAAATGGTTGTTTGTCTCCTGGATGTCTGTGCTGTAATGCGCTGGGGACCTGTCCAGGGTGTACCCCACCTCTCACCCAATGTCAGCCGGGATTGTCTCCAGCTCCCCCAGCTCTCCCTTACAGAGTAATACAGATAATGGATGGATTTGATTATTTTTAATGAACCTGTAATAAACACTTAAGAATGATAAGGACCCCCATATTTAGACTGAGCTCTGACTTTTCAGTGAAAAATGGCTTAGGAGCCCCCTGTGCTAATCCTACCACTTCCACCTGTCAGTGAGCTGAGATGCTTCAGTCCAATCATTAATTACATGAGATTTAAACATAGGGTAAGGTAATATTTTATCAATGAAATTCCATTTCATAAGCTTCTCATATCATGTTACCTCGTGAAATAGATTCTCACATGAAATAATAGATTATCGAGTGGTTCAGTAATAAATACTCACGGAGACAACCTGATGTACTCGTTTTGTTTTTTATTTATTACCTAAAAAAGAAAAATGTTCTATCACAAGTCACACTGAAATGTATTGCTTAAGAAAAAAAAATATATTCATATATTTTTTCTTTTTTTTTCTTTCTTTTTTTTCTTTTTTTCTCTTTTTCGGAAACGTATTGTTGCTTCCATTATATTCCACCGAAAACAAAAAAATGTTGTTTTTTTTCGGACATCAGCTGCTGCCTCGTCCTCAACAAACCTTCTCCCCCACTTTTTTTAAAAAATGCACAAAGAAATACATAATTCACAGTTACCATTTTGGTTTCATAAATTAATACAGTCACACATGTGCTACACCGGTCTAGAGCTAGAACATTGTAAATTGTATTCTTGAATCCTGTTATTTTCAATAGTTGGCTACAAGAAATAACAGGCAACTTAAATGACGTGATCAGGATTTCCACCAACATACTGTTTTTTTAACCCTCTCTGTAATGCTTCTGTCATCTTTTCGTTTTGTTTCGTCTTTTTGAGTATCACACAGAAGTGAGGCACACACAGAGTACAGTTCATACATATACCAAAAGAAAGATTTAAATAAAATTTGGGCTGGGCTGGGGATAAGCTGTCCTTTTAAATTGTGTTGTATCCAAGGAAACAGCAAGTGCATGTAAGTCTGGAGTCCTCACAGGACTTGTCTTATTCTGAATTAGGGCTAATCTGCCATCTAAGTACTGTGGTGTAAACTTCCTCAAGTAACATGAGTTACACAGATTTTTAGCTTTTTGCAGCTTGTTGGTGGGAGGACTGACTCAAGGAGGGGGGGGTGAGGTTTGGACGATGCAAAACAAGCATGGCAACACAATGAAGAAATGGGACAAAGACAGTATTTGAGCAACAACACTGACTTTTTTTCTTGGAATAGCATTTGATTCACTCAAACAAGCTTTACCCCTAAAAATCTATGACTCTCATGGCTGCGAATACAAGTCGTGTGTACCAACCAATGAAAACAAGCTTAAATCTGACACTGACACTGCAAGGGCAACAATTTTAAGGCACAGAAGCCTTGACATAATAGAGACTCCACCAGCTAAAAGCACTAAACAACAGATGCCCAGTGTCCTAAAAAAAAAACAGCGCCTTGATGACAACAAGTTCCGACAATGATACACACAGAAAGTTAAAAAAAAACATACCCGCCCCCATTGTCCCCAAATGTCTCATTTTTTTAGTGAAAGGTAAGGCCACTTAAAAAAAAGATGAGGTTCACCAAAAAGGTAATCTCTCACTGCAATCTCTGGGAGTGCAATTGTGGTATAGGGTGGTCGATCGATCAGACAGACAGATAAAAGAGACAGATGCCAGACGGATGCTTCTCTCCAGTAGGTTCGACGGACAGTACGAGTAAATTTGCCGGCCTGTTGGTTCCCTGTGAAAATACATCCACGAGATCCTCAGGTTGGCGTTCAGGCCGGGAGTAGAGGGAGAAGAGGAGGTGGCGTAACAATTCGTAGGGCTGCCTGGGTCCTTGACAGTCATGGGGGTAAAAATCAGCGTTCAGGGAGTAGAGAGAGAGAGAGAGAGAGTCTTTTGCTCTTTGCTCATCATCTTCATTGTCACACAACAGGAATGTTCAGTGTTGAGCAAAAAGTCCACACTTCATCTTCATCTGTTTTGGTTTTGCGTTATTAACACTTTAGCATGACACTGTTGTTCTAACATTGAGAAATATAAAGTTACAAAAAACCTAACCAACAAAGCAGCATTGTTTATTTTCTTCACAAACTCATGCATGTTGTTAACCTTCATTCCCACAGCGCCAGTTTCTTTTTTTTTCTGCCATCAATAGAAAAAAACATCAGTGTTAATTTCACACTTCTGCATGCAAAGAAAAGTCACTTTTTCCCTCCAGCTTTTATTATTATTGTTATTATCATTTTTTTTTTTTTCATTTGAAGTCCCCATGTGTAGCAGCGAAACTGTGAAAGGCCTAACCTGATATGTCAATGGATGTACTGGTGGAGGCACTAGATAATGATGCTGGATACAGATCCCACCTCTTCTCCCTCTATGCCAATAAGAAAATAGTCACTATCATAAAGACTACACATCGAATGTGCCTTAACGACTCTGAATTTGGAGTTTGATCCTCTTATGATATTAAGTTGTGACGCCTTCTGTTTTGAGAAACTATGGGGTCATCTGGGAGAAGACAACCCAGACAAAAACATGGGATATTTCTAAATCAAATTACACTAAAGTAAAACAGACACACGCACGCACACACCCTCATAAACCTTTGCCAATTGTCATTATGTACACAAACTAATACAAAACCCTCAACTAGTCCATTCAGGTCTGTGAGACATGAGGCGGGCTGGATGAAAGTTGTCTCTCTGTATCATTTGTATGCGTCTAGACGACTATAAATCATGGATGAGCTAATGGATGATTGAATGGATGTTATTTGTCGGTAGTCTAGCGACTTGACTAAAGCCACAGAGGGCTGCTGTTTTTTGAAAACAGCAGATAGGAAGTGAAATAAAAATAGATTTTTTTATCCATATACATTTTAAAGATTTTAAAATCCTCTAAAGCACTTTCTGTTAATCTTAATTCATTTTATTTATTCATTAATCATTCCTATCGATACGATGTCACTGAGGTTGATATCAATACTTCCATATTCTTTTTTTTTATTCTATCACAGGCCCACCTCCTCCTCTTCTTCGCACACTTTGACCGGCTGTTATAAATCAAGGAAATCAACAACTACTCTCAACTGTTATATGAAAACCTGAATGCTTTGTGAACAATGCTACATATTTTTTGTTTATAAAATATAATAGTATGTTTCAAAATGGAAAAGGAAAACAAAAAAAGTTTAACCACCCCATAACAGGTAAAAACTGGACTCTGGTTTGTGAGTTTTTGAAATCGATAAGAATGCCCGTCGGAATAATCCATAGTTTGGCAGTTCTGCCTTTCTTTCGATTAGGAAACACTGAGGCCTCTGGTGCTCCTGTTCTCTTAATAAGTCCAGTGTGGGTCTCTTCATTACTGTCCAGAGTCTTCTTTAAAAAACTTTGAACAAGAAAAACTGAAAATACCACCACCACCACCACCCACTGAATTTCTGCTATGCTCAAGTTCAGGTATGGTCTCTGTGATCACACCATAAAAAAGTCTTGTACACTGTTGAGTCCGGTTGTTGCCTGTCCAAATCCAAGCACGGCAAGAAAGTACTGTTGCCACTGTTGCTGTATTTTCCACAAGGTCAACTGTGAAGGACAGGATGGGATTAAAGTCTGCAGGGAGCCTTTTTTTTCATGTGAGAGAAGCCAGTCACATGGACAACCTTGATTTTCTCTTTGCACAGATCTCTGTCATTCTCCTGCCAATTCAGTCCCTCAAAATATATCTTTAAGTAAATCCCGAGCAAAGCTTTGCACATCTTTGAATCTGCCCCTCCCCTCCCCTCCAGGGTGAGGGGATCAGACGATTCAGGCCATGACGAACTCAGACTTCAAATCAGCCTTGACGTCGGGTTTCCACACTGAGTCGTCAAAGTCCAGGTCCAGAGAGCCCTCGCTGGACATGCTGCTGTTGCTGTTGCTGCGTCCGGCCTTGCGGTTGGGCAGCCACTGATAAGGGGCGCGCTGGTCCCTCCTGGCCTTCCTGCGCAGACGCTTCTGCTGCATCAACAGCTGCAGGCGCTCCACCTTGCAGCGGGTTGCACGGTTTTCAGTCTGACGCAGACGGTCACCTGGAGAGAGGGTGAGGGAGGGGAGAGCCGGTCAGTCAGGCGTTTGTTTGCACAAGGAATAGTTTACTCACAGTTAGCAGAATTTACACTAATTGGTTTGAGAAGGATGTGTGTGTGTGTGTGTGTGTGTGTGTAGAAGGCAGCAGATAAAGCCACACAGCCTTGATGATAATGCTAAGACACACTGGGATCATTCCCTTGACACACACATACACACACAATGCAACACTGGAATCTGGTACTTAACCTCCCCCACTGAGCATCATTACCCCCCCTCAGTGCTATTTCATCCCCTTATCACTGAATGGGGAGACCTTCGTCAACCTGAACCTCCTTGAGAACCACTAGCAAGGCCAAAAAGCACACAAACACAGACCAGTGACGACACTCTCCGATAGCAATCCCGTTGGTACGTGCACATATAATTGCAGATGACATGCCTCAGTGACTGGGTGTGCTACTAAGTGCATTCCTGGCTGTTGATGTGCCTATAGGAGAATCAGGTCTCGGGGGAGAGACCTCGCATCGCACTGCGAATCCTTCTCCAACAACGACTGAGTCGAGCCTAATTCCATTTATACGTATATTCGGGAGCTTGGAAGGAAGGAAAGGCAACCGCAATCTATTAGCCAGCTCCATTAGTATCTGTCTGGGAATTAAATAATTAAATAATGGGCTAGAATGTCAATAAACAGAAGCACGGTGGCCATCTCTGCCTCTGCTGCACAGCAAAACACACACACACACACACACACACACACACACACACACACACACACACACACACACATCCTGAATACGAGTACATCATGTATTCACACAAAAATGCATGCACAGTGTGCACACTCGACACGTGCACATATACACACAAAGACAAGCCTAAGCACTCAGGTGCAGGCACGCACACACAGCAACAGCAGCAACAACCGCAGTAGCTTTTAACGTGGATCGATGGCAAATTAAAAAGACCTATTGATTAAACCTTAGCTCTAGTGCAGCCATCCATCTCAGGCCCAGGACAACGCTATTGGCTTTCAATAGAAAATGCAAGCGAATGGAAATTGTAAGCGGGGAGAGAGACGGGGAGAGATTGTTTTTTTTTTCTTCAATTTTTTTTCTTTATTATGGCTGTAGCTTCCTACTCTCAGCTCATTGACCCAACACCCCCTCTTCTTCCCTTCTCCCCCAACTCTTCCACCAATCGCACACATGGAGGACCCTCCTCCTCCCCTCAGCTAGCCCCCACCCGTGTCTCCCCCATGGACAGTTATAGGTGGGGCAGTGCGAAAAGATGGGGAAGCGGGATAGAAGAGGAGGGGGTGGCAGTGGTGTGGGTGAAGGAATTCCTCCCCCAGGGGCGAGGAGGGGGGTTAGTGGAGAAAAGGATGGAGGTGGAGGGTAAAGGATCAGCTGTAGGTGGCAGTTTTCCGCATCGATCCTGCCCCCCTACCCACTCCCCACCTCATCGGAATGAATTGCGGACCTTGTGTGGGCTTAATTTAACTCTTTCCCTCATTTGCTTATCAGATCAAGGAGCACGTAGCCTTTTTCTCCCACTATAAATATTCACCACTGTTTGGCAGTGAATACTAAAGAACTGAACTGCAGTCATGAAGCAGCCGCGCTGCTGCTTCTCAACAACTTTTCATGTTAAACAGCTCTTAATGTGACTCTCATAGACGGACTGGGGTTTTTCCACTTCCTGGCAAAATGCTCTTTCCTGATACAAATATGTGTGTGTGTGTAAGCATCCAGACGCCATGTATGCTGTGTGTGTGTGTGAGGGCAGCATGTCATCTCAGAAAACAAGGGGTTTAACCAGAGGGGGGGTTCTCCTACATTAGAGCAATTGTTCCACTGCCTCAGCTCCATGTGACATCCATATATACTGCCGTGAGGCTTTGTTTCCCCCCTCCGTTCCTCCCTAATTCCCCTGTCCTGACACACCAAAAGCTAAACTGCCCCTTGGCTGTGTCGAAAAATGGCTGTACACAATGAAACAGCACAAAGCCAATGCATGCCTACAAACAAAATCTGTTAAGTCTGGTACAGTTTGTCTTTGGAGTGTCTCAGTTTAAAGTCTTTCTTTATCTGATCAACAACAGTCATGATCCTGTTTAGAGCATTCACTGTGGCGACGCAGCAATATGTAAGAACAAACACACACACCATAAAGGGCAGTTTGGTGGGGCTGTAGGAGGTCTTGGCCTTTGGCTTGGCAAGAGCTCAGGGAATGTGCTTGGAGCTTACCCAAATGTGTGTGTGTGTGTGTGGGGCCATTCATCAGCGTCACTACCGGAGCCCTGGGCGACTGGGCCGGACACAGCTGGCCGCAGGGATCTCCAGACTATGTTTATGACAGTAGGGCTATTATTAGGGCTGGCAAAGAAGGACAGACTATACACACAGCCTGCACACACAATACCCACACACACACAGATACACACAGGCTGGCCCAGAGCCTGGCTGCAAACACTAAGGTTTGACGTGAGCACAATAACCTTGGAGGACCCAAAACCATGGGTTCCTTGGGTAAGGGACCTTGGTAAATGGATGAAAGTAGGAGGGGGGAGAGAGAGGGAGCAAGAGAGACAGAGAGAGACCATGCACATGTACAATCCTGCTTGACACAGACAAAAGACAGATGATCAAGCAGCAACGGATCTTTTCTTAGAAATGCTTGAATATCAAAAATAAGTCAGGTCAAGGGCACAGAGAGGAAGGAAACGCCAATCTCCTTACTCCTCTTTTAACCACTCTTTCGCCTGCCAGTCACACAAACACTCAATCCCGAGCTGCACATTTTCCATCTCCACACTCTCCTTCTCTGAAGACCCTGACACAGGCCCTGTAAATACATTGCACACTGCAGCGAGAGCCGAGGAAAAACAGACAAGAGGCAAGAGAAAGAAGGGGTGATCTATGAATAATTGATGCATCAGTCAGTTTTCCTTGCCTTTGAGCCCAGCCCAGCAACGCAGCAACTGAGAAAGGGAGTGAACAGGGAGGAAGGGTCGGAAGAGTGGGAGGGTGGGTGGGTGTAGGAGGAGGAGGAGCGGCAGTGGAGGATGTAGGTAGAGAAAAAAGGGAGGAGGGCTGCAGCGTGCAGGACGCAGGGGGAGATTAAAGGAGCTTCTCCTTTTATTGATTGTATAAAGATTGGCCTTCATTTGCAGTTGTCTTAGTGCTGTTGTTTGTTTGTTTGCCTTGATAAGTCTTGTGATCTTGCAGAGAGAACATTGTGTTTGCTCAGCATCCGGGGGAACCGGGGGATGGAGAGAGGGGTGGACAGAGAGAGACAGAAAGAGGAGAAAGGAAAATCACATTGCAGCCTCGGCCTCCTCAAGAAATACTGGCCTTTCTTTCTGAAGCCTCAGTCTACATTTTACATCTAAATACTTTGATGATTACTGTAGTATTCAAAATCAAATCAGGATAATGTGTAGCGATCATCACTCAAGAGTCAAGAGCTTAGATTGTTTCAGTAAACCACATGAAAATGTCTTAAATTTAATCAAGCTGCACACACAGATATCAGTCCCCTGAACGGTTCCTGGATTCACACCCTGATCCAGATCCACACCATATTTTAATAGGTTCTTTCCCGATGCAGACCACATCCTTTCATCAAGTTTTGTGGTGATGTACCCTGTAGTTTTTGCCTAATCGTGTTCACAAACAAATTAACAAACAAATGGACAGGGGCGAAAACATGACCTACTTTTGAGGTAATAATGACCTCACTATTCCAAGTGCCAACAAGTGAACAGGTACATAATTTACTGATATATAATTGTACTAATTACCTTTACATAAGAGGGAATAATTATGTATTTCACTGATGGGACTAAAGAAGGATCTAACTCCATTAACACAGACCAAAAACTTCATATCCACCTGACCCATTAAAGATGAGTGTTTACAGACCAGTGGCTCAGTATCCAGAGGTAGACGGCACTGTAAGGAAGCCCCCTGAAGTACAGTTTGTCTGAAAATATGAAAAACATGACCTATTTGACAAAAAAACAAGCCTCCCATCCAACCCTAAAAAAATAAACCATCTCATCTGATGCAAACTGAAGCAACCAATCAAATCAGAGCTAATATGAGCATTTGACAGCACCGTGAAAGGGCATTGACTGCCCCGCAGGGACACAAGCTCTTCAATGACTTTTAGACTTCATTTGCATTCTCTCTCTCTCTCCCTCCCTCTCTTGCTCTCCTTGTCGACAATGAAAGGGCATCTGATGTGCTTTGCAGGCTTTGCTAGATAGCTCCGCGCTGAGCTGCGTCACAGGGGCATTTGCAGAATTACCAGTGCACGTGCGTTACACCAAACCCCTGCGTGTGACTGAAGCCTATAACTAAGCCTATACCTGTCGATAAAGTGCACTGCTCCAGTCAAGCAGGCTTAAAATGCAGGACTCAGAGAGGTTAGGTGTATAGTATTCTTCTCTGTGCCTCCCCCTCTCCCCGTCTCCCCTCGCCTTCCCTCCTCCTATGGCTTTGCCCAGACCAAGCCAGTACAAAGCTAACATGACCTGACAAATCGAAAGGGGACAGGAGGGGGGAATGAAGGGATGCGGAAGGGACACAAGAGAGGAAGGGGGTGCTGGAGAAGCTTTCAGAGCTAACTTTGCCCCTGCTTTGCCCCTCTCTCCCTCTCAGTGCATGTCTGTGTTGAACCAAGGCAGCTGCAGTGGGAGTGGAACTAAAAAGGCAGCCCTATAATCCCAGAGCCCCCGCCTCATTTGCCCCACAATGGCTCAGCCTGGTGCCCTGTATGTAGCCCCTGTCCCTGGCCCCTGCACAATGAGTTTGGCTGGGCAGGGGGCAAGTTGGCTGGAGGGGGGGGCGGGTGCCGGGGAGGTCCATCCTACTCAGTAAAGGAATTTAGCTAACAATCAGCCTGCCAGGCGCCCTAAAGCCCTCCTGTTCAAATCCAACACGAGTCCTCAGCTGACAAACCCTCACACTCAGCAATACCGCACAGCAAAGCCATGAAACCAAGCTAGTCATCCAAGCCTTTAACAAGGCCTTTATGGAGAGACAGTGTGTGTGTGTTCAAGCTTTTTATTTACGCTTGTCTTCTCCCGCTCGCACATGAACTTGCAGTGGAAAGGGTAAAGGCTCTCAGGAGACAGCCAAGCTATGTGACATTTTCAAGAGCCTGCCTCAACCTGAGTTTGACTGCAAACACACACACACACATATATTTGGGCAGATGGGGGACCGGGTTATTCCTGTAGCTGAATGAAGGCAGGTTTGTGTGAAGCAGAGTTAAGCCGCAGTGTTAAGTCCAGTAAGTCTTCCATCAGGTGTCGGCTGATAAGACTGCCTCAGGGCTCTTAGTCATCGGCTTCCTTAGGACACCATGTGGAACAGGATACAGATAGGCATGCAGCCTCTGTCCGCACAAACAAACCGGCACATTTATTGTCTTCATGAGCTGAACTGGCCAGGTTACTCATTCACGTCACTTTCTGGAAGCGGAGGAAGTTTGACAGGAGCAGTGAAGTTGGAAAAAGAGCATTAAACAGGCTATTCTTTCACCCATACTTTTGTTTCTCTGTCCTTGGTAAATCAGTCAGCAGTTAGTAGACTGATGGACAGGATACAAACACTCATATGATGAATGGAGGCTTAGTGTTTGTGATTTTAACCGCCTCCCTCTTCCGCGTCCTCCACCTCCTCCTCTTACTGCCCTCTACTTCACAAAGCAAATTCTTTTCAGTGCTGCATTTCGAAATAAATCTATCTATTTAAAGGCCAAATGAGCACAGACAATGTATTGATGCACAACACAGACGTGGAAAGAGAGAGGGAGTTGGGGAGCGGGGTGAAGGCGGAAGAGAGAGAGGGAGATGGATTTTACAGACAAAGCTGTTTTTGGACAGCAAATGGGACAAACAGCAGTGTGGGCTGCTGAGTGCAGACGAAGAGGGATGACAAGCATGGGAGAAGAGGGGAAGGGGGGTGGTGTACGTTATTGGGTCAGTGAAGAAATAGAAGGTCTTCCCTGAGTTAGGAAAATAACCCTGTGTTATTCCAACTGTTCACTAAACACTTGTAAGGGCGACACAGAGGAGTACAGGACATGCCTGTTCTATCTGTGCTCAGTTTCTACAGCAGAAAGACTCCATTCTTACTTGCAACAAAAGGTCACAGGCCCTGTTCAACCCTGGTATTCACATCTGTCCTGAGAGATGCAAGCTCTAAGTTTGTGTCTTCACACCTGGTATTAAAAACTTGTCTCCTTTGACCACTTGTGATCAGGTCTCATTTCCCTGCTCGGTATGAAAATAATCCCGACAGTCATTTGTCTTCCTGAAGACCAAATTATGTTTTTACGTAGTCTGAGTTTACAGATGTGTCCGATGACAATGTTTTTTACCAATAACAATGTTTTTGCGATGACAGTGTTTGATGCGAGCGGGACAGTGAGAGGAAGAGAGGAGTCAGGAGTGGTTCAATGAATCTGAATGAAGCTGTGTTGCGGAGAAAGTTTTTGCCAATTCAAGGAATTTATCACTTAGACAATTAATATATTGTCACTTAGAAGCACAAATATGTTTGATTAATTGTGAAATTGTAGCAGGTCATAGGTACCAGCTGAGTGGGCTGTCCTTCATATGTTGCCAAGAATGGATTTAAGAGCGAAACGAACTTGGCTACATGCGTCCCAGACAGCCTCCTGATGTGGTCCAAGTGATCTGAACTCAGGAAGCATTTAAGTTTATTCGGACCTGTACTTAGCATTGACCACTGCTGATCGGATCACTCAGGACAGATGTTAATACCAGGTCTGAATGGGGTCAAACAACACTTGACAAAGCCCATATATGACAATAGAAATGTATGCTCTCGCTTTCCTCAAAGAAAAGCAAACATTAAACATTTATTTCTGTTTTCCAGGACCCTCCCTGCCAGATTATTCAACAAAACATACCAACTATCTCACCAAAGAGTGGCTCAATTTCCTCGACTGGAGATAAGGAGACAGCAGAGGACAATGCTGTTTCTCTCAGCACCGCCAGTCTAACCTTACAACATGGACTGAATGATATCACTTCTGGACATCTGTTTGACACTCCACATCCTGTATATCTGCAAGGGAAAATGAGGTTTTAAAACACCCAGGCCCTAAGTCCCTGAACGGTATCATCCAAACTCCAGTGCCTGCCCTACATGGCCCAGCCCCTGGGCACTGGAATGTCAGGGTTTGTACGGCCCCAACGAGCCCCAGCCCATACACACCCCAGCTGCAGTCCTTCCTTTAAAGGTAAGTTAAACCACCCATAGACTAATCTAATCTAAACATGGCCCAGCCCAGGCTTGAAGGGGTAAACTTATCTCCTTGGTGCACAAAAACAAAGACAACTCCACTGCATGACAAGTGAAGCCTGACTGAACAGGTCTAAAGAAGCTTGTATTGCATTACTAAGGATACCCCCACCCCTTTCTCCTCCTCTTCCTCCCATCTCTTCCTCTTCTCCTCTGCCTCAAAACCCAGGAGAGAAATACTGTATGCAGAACTGTTTTTGTTCTATAATATGACTCTATTCTTGCTTTGTCAGAATTTTAAAGATGAAAATAAGTGCTTCAGCAAGACATTGATGCAAAATCATCCCAACGGAGCTGAAAGCTAACCACGATGTGCTATGAGAATAGAAACTAAAAGACAAAGATGACAATGAATTCTTTAGTAGAATGCAATGGAAGCGCAGAGCTCGGTAAAACGACAAATTCTAGACTGCAGTCATTTCACACACAAGTTCTCCAAAGCTGTTGCAACTGCAAGAACATCTGCTCCACAAGGTTTTCAAGGGAAGCACAGAGACTTAATGTGTGTATGTGAGTGTTTGTGTTCAGGCATGCTTGCATGAGCAGAGGGAGCGTAGAGTAGAGTCACTCACCAGGGGGTTTGCACATGCGGATCTGGCTCTGGCACTGCACCAGTGGATGAAGAGTCGGCGGAGGGCCGCTGGGGCTGACGGCAGGCACAGAGGTAGCTTTGGCAGAGAGGCCTGTCACGCTAGCAACTGGAGGTGAGGGAGATGGGGAGGGGGACGGGGAAGTGGGCGAGCCGCACTGGGTCTGGTACCGAAGCTGGGTGAGGGAGGGTGGCATTCCCTGGTAGTGACGTGTTGCACTCAAGAGGTCATTGAGGATCTGCAGGATGGTACCAATATCTCGTCTGGGACGCCCATTGCTGTCCTGGCAGTTAGGGTGCAAAGTGCCTGAGGGAGAGAGTAACAAAGATGGAAAAAATAGCCCCCAGTTTCTCATAGAAGACGTCTTTCAGGTGGATCTTACTGTGCGAATGGTTTTTGCTTAGAGCAGCGATAAATCTTAATGGCAGCTCAGTGTTGACCTTACCTGAAAAGGTCCCTGAGAAGACTCCCGGAGCGTGGTTGACAAAGCTCTCAATGATGGCGCCAGGTTTACGGGAGCGTGTCGAGGGACTGGTGCCACTGTTAGGGTTGTTGGTGCTGCAGTTAGCCTGGAGGGAAAAATTATTCTGTAAGTTACCTTTACCTAAGGGTGTTTTAACTACTATTTGCACTTTGTAAGTAACATATGAGGTATAGGCTGGTGTCATTAGAAAACGCAACAGGATGGAAACCTGAGCTTTCTAGCAACTGATGGGCCAGAACACCCTGGGTATCTTGTTACCCCAAATCTGAGAACGGACCAAACTTGGCAGATTTGCTACTTCACCTTAGCTTAACTTGGATCACTCAACTGACATCTGAAAGTGAAATTGAAACCCATGCAACTGTCTCTTGTGTTGTTTGAGCCTAGTGAGAAATAGCCATTTCTCTTTTTTTTCCACACAGGCCTGTCTCTCTGGTTTCCTTGTTGTGAACCATATCTCCCACATAGTCCCCTGACATCTGGTTCTTATTCTCTTACCATAGGCTGCAGCTTCGGGAGGGAGACAAGTATAAGCAGCGAATGTGGTCAGTGGAGATGAGTACGTTTGTTTGTTCATGTGTGTGCAGCTGCTCTTCTAGTTAACCAAAGTTAAATAAATGGCTATAAAGGTTAATGATAAATGACTGAAAATGTCAAGGTTAATGAACAGTCTCAACTTGAAAAACCAACTCACTGATTCATTCAGACTTCATTCTCTTTGACTATTTTTCTCATCCTCTTTACTCCACCTCCCTTAATCCAATATATTTTACTGAAAAGGATGAAGTCATACGAATGCCACGGCCTCCTGGCTAAACGCGTGTTTGCCTGTTTGTATGTATTTGGGAAGACTGCACTCCAGTGATGACTAATGGCACTATGCACTATGGAAACACACACACACACACAACACGTGGAAATCTGTCCCAGATGACTAAACCACAGGGTCGCCCTCATGCTGTTGGGGTATCCCACTAATCTATTTGATGTAATGGAGGAAGATTTAGTTGTGTGCGTGGCACTTGTGTGGGTCACAATTCATCTCCTCCAGTTTTCATTC